AAGAACCCCTGGAAGGATGATTCCCCTGTACATAGCAACAAACAACGGTGTCCCATGGTTTCAAAATGGTGCAGGATTTCGTCCATGAAAAGGTTCGTAGGGTCTCCATCTCAAGTGGATTTTGTCCAAGTGCGGTTGAGACCTTGAGCTCACCAAGCCCTTACCTTTAAGGGGTTCCTTAGACGGGGTCGCGTGTGAGAGAGTGAGAGTTGCGCTCAAAGAAAAGTTGACGCTTCCTTCCACGTACAGCCTGAAGTGACAGGAGGAAGAGTGAACCCCTATAAAGGGACACTAGGATCGCCACTCGCAGTCCTGCGGCAAATCGAAAACCAGCAACCCTGCAGCAAATCTATTCACATTGCGCAACGTTTTCTGCACTGATTTTAACGAGCTCACCTAGGGGTTTTGTAGGTCAGTCATCACCTGCTTTTGGGCCTTCGACACTTTCAGGAGGTCCGTTTAACTCACAAACGAAGCCGAACGCCAAACCCGAGGCTTCCTGCAAAAGTTGAATGGCAACTGTTGTGCGAGGTCTTACAAGTGAACCAACATGCTGGGGAGTGAGGTGGGGAGGGGGGGTTGCCTGGAAACCACCTCCACATCCACGTTGCTCTAATTTAGCAGTTGCCCGGCGAAATGGCGGGGGTGATTGCGTCGGTGGAGATGCTGGGTGCTGACAGGGATCAAGGGATCTGGGGATTTTCACATTCCTGCGGTCGACAAAATCAACCAAGACGTGTTCTTGAAAGCCTGGCTTAGATGGGATTCACCCTTTCGCTGGCTGTAGCCGGTGCCCAACCTCGGAGTTTGGGTGTCCTTGTGGTGTCCAAACAGTTCCAAAGTCCTTTTTCAGCCAGGGGGATTCCCTAGCCATTTTGGTTTCTTGACTCTTTCTTTGGTTCTGAGAACGAATTCCCCCCCCCCCTTTTCCCCGTGTTTTTGTTTCCCCAAATTGTCCTTTCGGGTCCCCAAAAAAACAACAACACGCTGAACACTTGAGACGAGGCACGGGGTGAGCGCCACTCAGATCACCTACTCCGTGGCGGGAGCCTCGGGTGATGCCCGGGGTGCTTTTTAGGCGGTTTGGGGGGTGCCTGGTTTCAGGTAATTTCTGACTCGAGTTCTTGGACTTTATCCGTTTTGGGTCTGGACCACTTGTTTACACTTGTTTTATTTGGATCCCGGAAGTGAGATTTGGATTTGGTGATTTGGATTACCGTAGAGGATACATGGGAATCCATGATACCTCCAACCCAAGCCACCAGCATAGGACTTTTTTATTTTTGCACATCCTCATATTCTCACTTCCTGCATGAATTGGCTAAACCGAGTCCCAAACTGTTTGTGTTTATTTCTCAAGTCCTGGAAGTCTGATGAGGAAATAATAGAAAAGCTTACATAGACCGTCATAGACCTGTATATCCATCTTGGTTGAAACTGTCACTGGTTTTTGGGCTCTACGGATTTTGCCTTTTGACCTGTCGGTTTAACATGTTACTTCCAGGCCCTTAGCTCGAGTAGGGAGCTGATCCAGTTGATATGGAAGCCGGGAACTTAGTTGGACCAGCCTGCTTAGATAAATGATACAAATGTGTATATATATGATATATGGGAGCCAATGGGTTCAATTGACGGAATCTAGGTTTTGTGCTTTGGGCGTGGGGCAAAGGGTCAATCACAGTGGCTGAGAGGGGATTCCTGGCTTAGCAAATCTGTTGGGAGCCAAGGAGACCAAGCCAAGGATTGATCGTGAGAGGTGCTGCGAAAAGAACGCTTTCCCGACAACGATTTGCCAGCACATAATCTCTGTTGCCCAAAGCATACTTGAACGGGTCCAAAAGTGTTTCTTGCCAGGGATAAGCTACAACCCCCAAGGAGTGATGAGCGGGTCAGTTGTACAACCAGCTTAGCCACAGCATAGCGCCCCAAAGAGGAGACCGGGAGCCAAGCTCGCCCCAAAGAGTGGTGTTCCCTTCGGGCCCTGTTGGAGCCTTAAAAGCCAACTTACGTCAGGGGTAATCATTTACAAGGCTTTGAATTTGCTAACATGTTTGTACTTCGGGCTGGAAATTAAATCCTATGGGGGTTTCCCACGTTTGTCCCATGAATCACATGTTTCTCCCATTAGTTCGGTTCGGTTTCACGACCAGTTTTTCGAGGCCTGGCCGCAATCCTGCGCCGGCCTGCTGAGCGCCCTACTGGCAGATGCCCCTTGGAGTGAAATTACCAAACGCGACGCGGGCGTAAGACCTGGACCTAGAGACACAGAAACCCGTAAAATGCGGCGTGCCCTCGTGGAAACCTCGTGTTGTTGTTTTTGTTCTTTTGGAGGGGAGGGGGGGGGGGGTAAGACATTTTGAGAGGTTTTTGGGCCTCTAGGTAGACATGGTTAGCTTTACATCCTGTCCCAGAACAAACAAAAAGTCTTCCGAGAGGAGCAGAACAGTCATGTTGGGCTTGCGGGGGTTCAGCCTCTTGAAACTGATATCTGGCGGTGCGCATAGAAACGACACCTAGTACCGTGGCAAGGCGGATTGAGGAACTGTGTCAACGTGGACCATGCTGGAGTATGCTGGACCTGGCTTCATATTTCAACCATTTCAAGAAGATGCGTTGCCCCGTGCCACGGTATGAGCGTCATAGCTTAGTGGGCTCCCTTCAGTTTCATCGCCTCATCGCTAGTGAGCAGAACATCCTGGCGCACTGTGCCCAGCCACCTGAGGACAAACCAATGCAATTGTTTGTCATATAGCTGTGGGTCAAAAATAGGTACCCAAAATGGAACCCTTGTAAACGGAACCAAGGACTAAAACCTGCTGTCCCCTGGTGCTGAATTTTGTCCCATACCCATATCATACTGGGTATCATGTTTGTTTCGGGGTGATACACTATGATGATGGACAAGGCTTGCCTCCATCACGCAGCGGTGTCCCGTTGAGCAGAGGTCTCGATGAGGGTTGTCCTTTCAAGGACACCCACAAACGAGGCATCTCCGAAGGAAATGCAACTAGAACACGTTTACCACGGAGCAAGCCATACATCTGCCCAAAAGTGCAGGGTCCCCTTTTGCAAGGACATCAGACAGCCCTGCTTCGGATCACTTTTGGGCATCTCACCCCCCCCAGTCATACGTCATACAGTCAGGGCTGCCTCCGGGCCGTGCTGAGCAAGAACGATACTTGCGCTTCGTCCTTGACCAAGCACCAAACTAGGGTGATGTGCATGTCTCGCTTTCAAAATCACTCCGGTGTTTTTGAGGGTTCCTTCCCCAACCTGCGACACAGGTTCGCGCTTGCCGTTTTCGCCGATCTGAGGTATGGGTGCCACGGTTGAAGGCAGGGATGCGCAAGTTGCCTCGCGGGAAAGGAGGGAAAGTGAGGCTCCTTAGGCATCCCTGGCATGAGTTTGTCTAGATGTGCAAAGCCTTTACTTTTCCTGCATGTATCAAGTTTTGCCGGGTTTCTGAATTGGAACATGTTCACTGTGGACATGAGGTTGAAAGCTTGGTTGCTTCTTGGCTTGCTGTTTAGTTTTGAGGAGGCGTGGCAACTGCGAAGATGAGCCACAAAGACAGTCTGGGTAGATGCAGATTCTTGGGGGGCACTCCTAAGAAATCAACAGGTGCCAAACGCGGTCGGCCATTGACGATTCGTTGCGCTTGGTTCCAAGTAGATTCCCTCATGTTCAAGTGATTCGTTCCTTGCTCTTTGCCTTCGACCTGCCTTCTGATTTTGAAGCAGCTTAGCTGGTCGGTCCCAAGCTTGAATGAGCCGTTGGATCTTTTGGGAGTCGATGACTATGGCTTGGGTCCCATGGTCAGAGCACCTATGGAACCTCCTGAAACCAGAAGCAAGCCAAACCGCCAAACCTGGCTGCAGCAAGCTTATGCCCCACACCAACATCATGCTTTTCCCACTTGCAATAGCTGGTCCATGACCGGCTAGTCATTGGGCTAGCAGCCTGGCTCTTCACAATGTTGGGGGAGAGGGTTGACTTCTTGAACTCGACGTGCGAAACCCATTTCTGCAGAAGTTTGTTTCAGGGTACCCTTCTTTTTCGGTGCTTACCCATTGTCCCCCTGGGGACTAGATTTGCCCCCAGAGGACTTGGGGTGTCCAGCATTTCCGGCCCCAGACGCTCTTCCTGATGCGGCCGTCCAGCTTGCTGGAGCACCAGCTGACAGACAAAGGCGTCGATGAGAGAGAGGAAGGCTAGGTCCCCCAGTAGTGTCCTTGTGAACCCCTTTTTTTTTGGGGGGGAGGGTTCCCCTACCAAAATAGACTACAGAAAAAAAGGGTACCCTTATTCTGACCTCTCTACTGGAGGACCTAGAAGGGGAAGAGGAGTTCAGAGGAAGCGGAAAGGAAGGAGACAGGGCAGGAGGTTCAAGAGACATAGCGTGTGAGAAAGGACAAAGGGCGGACCCATCGACAGGAAGGCTTCCCAATAGAAGATCCTGATAGTTCCAACAGCCGCACAACTAGAAGGTGCAACGTTACACGAAGTCGAACGGGCAAAGAGGATAGCAAGAGAGAATGGACCGGCTTATCTAACTTTGAAAACACGGAGTAGTAGAAAGGTCAACGTGACAGTGACCCACAACTCCAAGCCTGGGTTTGGGGTTGCTTGCTTGCTTGTTTGTTTGTTTGTTTGTTTGCTTGCTTGCTTGCTTGCTTGCTTGCTTGCTTGCTTGTTTGGTTGGTTGCTTGCTTGTTTGTTTGCTTGTTTGTTTGCTTGCTTGTTTGTTTCTTTGGTTGCTTGCTTGTTTGTTTGCTTGCTTGTTTGTTTGGTTGCTTGTTTGTTTGCTTGCTTGCTTGCTTGCTTGCTTGTTTGTTTGGTGGGTGGGTGGGTGGGTGGGTGGGTGGGTGGGTGGGTGGGTGGGTGGGTGGGTGGGTGGGTGGTTGGTTATTCTTTGTTGGCCTGCTTGCATGCATGTGGTTGTGGCTTTGTTTGTTAGGTTGTTTCATGTTGGTCTCAAAGGAAAGGCGTGCTCGCTGGACCAAGCCCATCCATCGCTTGCACAGCCTCCTCGCATCCTTTCGCATCTCGCCATGTCCAGCCAGGGGCCGCTCCAGGAAAGAGTGGGCTACAAGGCCCCGAAGGAGCTAGTGGATGACAATGCCGAGGATGCGGGCCTGCAGGAGAAGACCGCGCAAGAGAAGGCGGCTGAAAGCTACGCCGCTGCCAAGGAGAAGGTGCAGCAAGTGGCTGAGAAGCCTTCAGAGATCAAGGATGACAATGCCGAAGATGCGGGCCTGCAGGAGAAGATCGAGCAAGGCCTTGCCACCGCGAAAGAGAAGGCGGCTGAAGGCTACGCCGCTGCCAAGGAGAAGGTGCAGCAAGAGGCTGAGAAGGCTTCAGAGCCCAAGGATGACAATGCCCAGGATGCGGGCCTGCAGGAGACGATAGAGAAAGGCCTTGCCACCGCGAAAGAGAAGGCGGCTGAGGGCTACGCCGCTGCCAAGCAGCAAGTGGCTGAGAAGCCGTCAGAGACCAAAGATGACAATGCCGAGGATGCGGGCCTGCAGGAGAAGATCGAGAAAGGCCTTGCCACCGCGAAAGAGAAGGCGGCTGAGGGCTACGCCGCTGCCAACAAGAAGGTGCAGCAAGTGGCTGAGAAACCTTCAGAGCCCAAGGATAACAATGCCGAGAATGCGGGCCTGCAGGAGAAGATCGAGCGAGGCCTTGCCACCGCGAAAGAGAAGGCGGCTGAGGGCTACGCCGCTGCCAAGGAGAAGGTGCAGCAAGTGGCTGAGAAGCCTTCAGAGACCAAGGATGACAATGCCGAGGATGCGGGCATGCAGGAGAAGATCACGCAAGGACTTGCGACCGCGCAAGAGAAGGCGGCTGAGGGCTACGCCGCTGCCAAGGAGAAGGTGCAGCAAGTGGCTGAGAAACCTTCAGAGCCCAAGGATAACAATGCCGAGAATGCGGGCCTGCAGGAGAAGATCGAGCGAGGCCTTGCCACCGCGAAAGAGAAGGCGGCTGAGGGCTACGCCGCTGCCAAGGAGAAGGTGCAGCAAGTGGCTGAGAAGCCTTCAGAGACCAAGGATGACAATGCCGAGGATGTGGGCCTGCAGGAGAAGATCGAGCAAGGCCTCGCCACCGCGAAAGAGAAGGCGGCTGAGGGCTACGCCGCTGCCAACAAGAAGGTGCAGCAAGCGGCTGAGAAGCCGTCAGAGACCAAGGATGACAATGCCGAGGATGCGGGCCTGCAGGAGAAGATCGAGCAAGGCCTTGCCACCGCGAAAGAGAAGGCGGCTGAGAGCTACGCCACTGCCAAGGAGAAGGTGCAGCAAGTGGCTGAGGAGCCTTCAGAGACCAAGGATGACAATGCCGAGGATGTGTGCCTGCAGGAGAAGATCAAGCAAGGCCTTGCCACCGCGAAAGAGAAGGCGGCTGAGGGCTACGCCGCTGCCAACAAGAAGGTGCAGCAAGTGGCTGAGAAGCCGTCAGAGACCAAGGATGACAATGCCGAGGATGCGGGCCTGCAGGAGAAGATCGAGAAAGGCCTTGCCACCGCGAAAGAGAAGGCGGCTGAGGGCTACGCCGCTGCCAACAAGAAGGTGCAGCAAGTGGCCGAGAAGCCTTCAGACGAGACACAGAAGCAGGACCCAACTTTCATGGACAAGGTGCAAGGCGGTCTATCCGGTGTGAAGGAGAAAATGGTTCACGGCTATGAGGCTTTCAAGCACCAGCTGGTCGGTTCGCAAGCTGAGAAGCCCAATGTGCCTGACGCTAAAGAGAAGGTGAAGCAAGGCATTGAAGCCGTGAAGCAGACGGGGCCTGTTGAGGCGACCAAGGCTCTCACTGGCGACAAGGAGGAGGGCAAGAGTGGCAAGGTTGGTGGTTCGTGAAGGGCGCGACAAGACCCAAGGTGAGTTTTGAGTGGTTGCCAGTCACTCCGTACAGCTTGAATTTTACTGCTTCCCTGTACTGAGTCCATGACTTTTGCTGTTGATCATGCTGCATGCACATGCAATATATTCGGATCCTGACATTGCATTCAACACGGTTGGTGTTTCTTGACGGGACACGTCGGGGAATCAGAACTGGCAGAGGAACAGTTTCAGCCAAACTGCTTTTACAGCGCGACCGCACGGCTGTTTAGAGGAGAGTTTTCTCACTGCGTCAGTACCCCTTTGTGACGTTCAGCCTTAACAGCCCGCACATGGCAAAGAGGATGCAGCCACTCATTTGGATCCATGCCTGTGCTTGCCTGTGCTTGCGGGTGGCATCAAGTATTGAAGACACAGCCCCAGAGAGAGAGAGAGAGAGAGAGAGAGAGAGAGAGAGAGAGAGATGTCAGAGTACATGCGGTACATAGCTTGTGCATGACCGCAGGCCTTGAGCTTTACTACATTGCGGGCCCATGAGAAACCGGAGTTGTGCAGACTACAGGTTTGTTTGTGTTAGCAACAATACAACACTTGCACTTGTAGCAAACAGCAGTCTGAATTTAACGTGGTAGCGGAGCTGAGATCCTAAACATAGGGGAGCCCCAGTATCCAGCAGTAAGTACTACAACAACTGCAGCAGCAATCACATGCCAAACTACTACGACATGTCAGGGGAAGCAGCATCAGCTTCAGCACAACAAGTTACAGGAACAGAGAATGGGCCAACAGCAGAAACAGAAGGAGCCACAACTACGGGAGCAGGAACAGGACAAGACAACGACGTTCAGAGACTACACAAATACAAACTGCCACAACTTTTCTTCACTGGTGACTACTCCCAGTATAAAAAATGGCTGTTCAAGCTACAAGCATATCTCGGACTTAGAGACCGAGACTTCGACTTGGTGCTACAACTGGCACAAGTCTACACGACAAGTTGAGGATGCAAACATCAGAGCGTACATACGCGACCCTACACAAGCAAACAAAGCAGTAGACCTCGCCAGAGATCTACACTACATCCTCATCAACATATGTCAGGGAGCAGCAGCTACAGTAGTAAGGCAAAACCGCTACAACGCAAATGGATGTGAAACACTACGACTCTTACACAACTTCAATCCACGACACTGCACCATCACACATGGACAACAACAAGCACACCTCATCAGACACTCAGGACTCTTCTACCTACGAGCAGAAAAGATCGACACCCCTACAGGGTTCTACATCTACCCAATGACTACAGATAATGGAAAACCCATTGCTGTGATTCAACCTACACAGAAAGAAAAACAACAAGAACAAATTGCACCACTCACACGCACACACACCAAGGACTACGACAGCCTGGTGGAAACACTGACTACTGGAAACTTGATGGTGACTACGCCATCAGAGTTCACAAACGACCACGCAAAGCAACGCCACACACCAGCGGCTTCCCAATACCAGAAGAAGAACTAGATGATAACCATCATCAACAGAAAAGAGCAAGAGCAAGAACAACTACAAGAGAACCTCAAACAGCTTTCCAAGCAAGAACTACAAAGAAGACTAGAAGGTGACAACTGGACTGGAGAAACCAGATTCAGAAGAAAGATGACACCTACACGCAGAGCAACATCAAGGACCACACCAACAAGACAGAGCTCACAACCGCAACAACCAAGGATACACCACCAACTAAACCAAAGATTCAGCAACGAGCTCCAAAAAAGATATGGAGCCCTTGACACGCAACCAAAGGCGACCATACACAGACCACTCACAGCACAAGAAGACAACCAAGACTACTGGGAAAGACAAGGTGAACACTGGATAAGACACCACATATCACTTAGAACTACACGGTTCACTCCAACAGATGGACCAGGACATCCACCAATCAACACACTCGAACCTCACAGAACTACAATCACCAACAACAACTTTGGAGAAGTTTCGCAACGCAAAGATAACTGGACAGTCATGGGCAACGCAGCACTACCTTTTCAATGGAAAGGAACAACAAGGTTCACCATAAAGAAAGACTACGGGTACATCCAGGAGAACCACGACGAGGAACAACGACACGAACATCATGAAGCACACAGAGCAAGAGGACTACGACAACCGCAGCAACCAACCCCACAACAAATGGCAGAACACAACTTGACACCCCTACCATACAGAAATTGGTGTCCAATTTGCGTGCAAGGCAAGGGACGCCAAGACAACTACAAGAAACAACAATCACGACAACCCGTCATTCAAGTAGACTTTGCCTACATCAAGTCGCAACAAGACCCAAAGACCTAACAGCATTTGATGTTACTGCGCAACTGTGTATGGCGGTAGTGGTCCCAGACAAACCATCAATGATGGACTACATGGCCAACAACCTACAAGCATTCATCTTTGAGTGCGGAAGAACACAAGGCACACTACAAAGCGACCGGCGACAACGAAGACACACTCAACGCGCTTCTAAAAGCTACAGCAGCCAAAGTTGGCTCAATGACTGTTCGACATGCACCTCCTACAGCAGCAACAGTCAAGGAAGCGTTGAGCGACTACACCGAACACTTCTTGGACAGATACGCGATGAAAGAAACTAAAACATGACAATGTCCACGAAGCACTGTCTACTACCTTGGATAGTACGACATGCATGGGCGGTAAATCGCTACATCATCCAATCCGACGGCTACACAAGCTTCGAACGCCGCTGGGGAAGAAACTACGAGCGAGCGATTGGCAAATTTGGCGAAACAGTACTTTACCTTCTACCACAACACAAGAAACTTCCGAAGGTCCGAAAGCAGACCTGCGAATTCAGACATGCATTTGGCTCGGAAAAGTTTCCGAAACCGGAGAAAACTACGTCGCAACAGAACAAGGCGTACTGAAAGTACGAACAGTACGGAGACTACAGCCGGACTTCAAATACGACCTCGCGCTACAAAACAAAGTTTCCGGCGCACCTTGGGCGCCACGACGGAACACCTACAACCCGTCATTCGCAACACTGTTGGACACGCAACTACAATCGTCAGAAAAGACACGAGACACACAAGACGAACAGATGAACGTGACGGTCGATATCGTCGCGGAACCCGCAACGAAACAACAACGCACTACGTCACCTCCACGACTTCCGTCGACCTCGACGTCAAGTTAACGACCACTACCGGATTGCCCCACAGCTACTTCACCTACCGGACTACAACATCCACCACTACCAGCACCACCTCGTCAAACACTACGACGCATGACGCCGGAAGAAGCAATGCAACCGACCAAAGCACAAAAGACCTCAAAGGACGCCACAATCAGATCAACGGAAGAGCGACCAAAGAACCACAACCACTGCGACAGAAAGTTAACGCAGTGACACTTTCCAACGGAACATCCATTACACAAACGACGACACCTCCGAACACCAACCTATAATCTTCGACAACACATACTGGAAGGAATGAAGCACGAACCAAACCAAATGAAACTACATGACGTCTACGACGAAGTAGATGCGTCTACAGTCGACAACAACAACAACAACAACAACAACAACAACAACAACAACAACAACAACAACAACAACAACAACAACAACAACCACAACCACAACCACAACAACAACAACAACAACAACAACAACAACAACAACAACAACAACGACTTCAAACATTTTGCATGTAGTACCTGAATGAAACATGACACTTTGGTATGGAAGTAACAGTAACTACATGTAATGTCACTTGCACTTTTGGCGGCACGTTTGGCGGCTTCAGTCAACACAACATTCCTGTTTGTTTTACATGTCTGCCCGCTTCCTGTTAGCAACTACAGGCTAACTGTAGGTGCCCCGTCTCACTTCATTTTAAGACTACAGCCATGGACCATTTTGCGACTACAATCGCTGAGGACGAGGTTGACATGGCGTCGCCCGAGACTACTACACCCGTCCAACTACCAGTTGACTGCAGGCGCGCCACGACCTTCAACTACAGACCACACCACTGCCTGCACACCTACAGGATGTCTACAACTCCAACGAGTTCAACCTTCACATCAAGAACACCATCCTACTACGGCCCATGCCCGCGCTGCCCACAACACCACAATGCACCAAAGCCTACACCCCCCTGACGGTTGAGAACTACTGCTTTCTCGCTGCAGGACAGGATGATGACACTACAGTCAAACTTTTCTACACCACAGCCACTTCAGAACCAGCAACACGCTTTTTGCCACTACACTCACTACCGGGCAAGCTACATCAGCCGGCATACGACCGACTACAACTACTACATTCGGCAGCTGATGCCCACTTGTGGCATTACTACAGCTTGACCGAACTCCACGCATCCACCAACCACGTCAACGACTACAGTCTCGTCACCATTTCACTTCCCACAGACTACGCCCAACAACTACTACAAGACAACAACCGGGACTACTTCGTGCATGACTACATTGGTCACTCCACTTCAATCCAAAGCCACTACACCCTTCGCTTGTCCCACTACCAGGGAGCCTCCTGGTCAACTACAACTTCAACGAACTCACCCTACACTACACCCTGGCCAACGGCTACATCTGGGATTTCCACCTCCCAATCAACACTCCAACTACTCCACCTTTACACCCTACACCCTAACGACAGCACAGCGCGACGTGCTGCGCACTGCATTTGGAGCAAGACTACAGAATACTAGGGTCACTACTTGTTGACCAATACACGAGGCACTCCACGCACCCTGAACAGCGAGAGCTACTGAGGACTACACCTGTTTTGCCTTTTTCAGTACAGTAACATAGTAGCATGGATGAACAACACTTTTCTCATCACTACTGTCAATCTTGACATGCGCATTCCAGTTGAAAGATACTACATGGTGTTTTAACTGAGGGACGCTGTCAGAGTACATGCGGTGATGACCGCAGGCCTTGAGCTTTACTACATTGCGAGCTCATGAGAAGCAGGAGTTGTGCTGACGACAGGTTTGTTTGTGTTA